ATATGCTCTCTCTCCAAAATCTCTCTCTCTCCCTCAACTCTCTCTCTCTCTCTCTCTATATATATATATATATATGATCTTCTAATTAATTAATTAATTAATTTCCAAAAAACATACGTACACATTTCGTGTAGACCCTTGAACAGATTCAGAGAAAAGAAAAACCATCATCAGAAAATAAACCTGCCACCGTCTATCTCTCTTCGTTATGTACATCATCAAATTCTTGTGATCGTTGAACGAAGAACGGCATTACGTGATCCCAACCGCGCGAGGTTACAAACGATCATATATATATATATGATCCGGAACTTTCTTACAATACATATATATGGTCCCCTCAACAAACAAAGCCATAAATCTTCTGAGCATATATACGGCTATGACTTTAATGGCAGAGCAAAATGGTTGCTGTTGCTCTGTTAGGGTTTTAGGAAACAATTTCCTGAAAATTTTAAAAAGCGTTGTTATTATTAATAATTGATTTCCTTTAAGTTGAAATACGAAAACAACGACATTATTTGGAGTCATATATATATATGCATATATAATAAAAATAAATAATAGTAATACCCTAGGGCTCCCTGATATCAGTTCCTAATCTATAGGGAGCTTTGGCTAGGGTTTTAATAAGTGAATGTAAGTGAGGGGATAGGAGATGGTGACTTGTCATGCAAAATGCCCTTATAATATGTAGAGACGGATTTAGATTATTAATGTCGGGTCTTTGCGTCAAATTATACTTGTTTTAAGTTGATTTTATGTGAAAATTAATATTAATTTTATGTGAATGTCTACAAAAAAAAAAAAAAAAAACTCAACCCTATACCCTCTATTTTTTTTTCAAATAAATTTTTCTAAAATTATCCATGGCAAACACGTCGTTAAAAAACGTAATCCGTTAAAAAGTTTAACGGCATTGCAACGACTGTTTTTCATTATAAAGTATCAACAGATTTGCAAAAAAAATATTAATAGAAATTCCGTTGATAATTTGTAACAGATTGTCGACGGATTTCCGTTACCAATATCAACGACATATCCGTTAATAAAAATCAGCGGACGGTTCATTGCAAATTCATTGTCGTTATCAACGGAATTTCGTTGAGTGTATGTCGTTGATATATATATATATATATTGACAAAACCTTGCAACGGGACATCCATTGAAATCGCTAAATCATATATATGTAACAAATTAATATCCAAAATTTACGATTATCTTTGACTACTATCATAAGTTAGCGCCTATAACTTCTGGGTTTTTTATTTTATTATTATTATGTCCGAATCTCCGATTGTGTTCGGCTTCGAACGCGATCTTCCCTAACGGCAAAGAATTGAGAGAGATCACTATCAAATACAAACTCATTTAAATTTATAAAAAGATCGCGACACAGAGATTATTGGCCCAGAAAATTTATTAAATAAATAAATGCATTGACGCTCAAGTGATTTGCGTGATAATCTGATAACATATGGTGATGATCAGTACATATATAGTATAAGGATCTTATATATATATATATATATATATATATATATATACACGTGTATGTATATATAGCGATGGCATCATGAACAAGCTAATTAGGAATTAAATGAGCAAGAAGAGGACCACCTTAATTTATCTGCAGAACCCTTTTGCATTCAGAGACAAAACATCCAATCCAATACATAAAAGAAACAACACCGACTGTGTTTAAGTGCCAAAGCTACATAAGCTGGTCCTTGAGAGAGATAAATCTCTCTCTCTATATATACATATATATACACACCTATATATGTAACAATGGGCGACGTACTTGCATTAGACAACTAACTAATTTGTCATCAAAGAGCACACCTAACGTCGCGTTGGTAAATGTTTCCTCTCCTAATAATATCTTCATCTGTGGAATTTTTTTACATAGAAATCTATTTACACCTCTCTCCATACAGAACCGCTGTTTTAACCCCAAAAAAATAAGGGTATTCATGTAAATAACGTATTATTTTTGGGTTCGATTCAACTGGTGGGGGGAGAGATGTAATTTTTGGATCAAAATGGTCCATATACAAAGATTGATTCCGAGCCTAGGGTGATATAGTCGGGCCGAAGGTCCGCAAACCATCTTGCTTATAAAAAAAAAACTTTATAATTAATCTTGTAAATAGTTTTATAATTAATCTCTCGTACGTGCAAATATGCATATATAGTTTATGTGTATATATATACATATGTGTGTGATAAAGCAAGGGAGTTCCAGGCTTTCGGTCCAGTTTATCTCATATGGTCCACAGTTACACACATACATACACATACACGTTTGTATGTATATGTACATACAGGCTTTGGTTGACAATTTTTTTAAAAGATTTATTACCAAAAAAAGTTGTTATAATATCGTGAATTCATTGGTTTATATAAACAGACACCCAGTCAACCTCATTCTTTATTCACTGGTTTACCAGTAAGTTCCATCCTTAAACGTGGAACCTTCTTCTTCTGTTATTCTTCTTCTTCATCTTCATCATCATCTTCTTCTTCTTCTATGGACGAAGCTAATGGAGCAAGAGAGATTCACGACTTCATGAAAGTGAGCGTAGAATCATTCTCTCAGCTTCCTTTCATCCGCCCATCTCCGCCCAGAGAAAAAGCCCCGATTCGTCTCTTCGGAAAAGACTTCGCCGCCGGAGATATCCCTCAAGATTCCGAATCTTCCGACAACAACAACAGCGACAGCAACAAGAACAGCGAAACCAAAGAGGAGAACCATAACAAAGACAACGACAACAGCAACAGCAGCAGCAGCAGGAGGAGGAGGTTCGAGTGTAACTACTGCTACAAAAACTTCCCCACTTCCCAAGCCCTAGGCGGCCATCAGAACGCCCACAAACGCGAACGCCAAAACGCCAAACGCGGTTCCACCCCCCCCCCCCAGCCCCACCCAACGCATTATTACGGCTTCCACCACCGCAACTACCTCGGCGTCGCAGCCCCCGCGGCCGTTAGGTTCTACGGCGGTCAAACGTCACCGTTTTACGCTCCTCACCCGGCCATTAACGGGAGTCCTTTAGGGCTATGGCCATCTTCAAACGCGGTTCACGGCGTTTACACTTCTGTGACTGCGTTTGGCGCTCCTGACTCATGGTCTGCCCACTCGACGTTTGCAAACGCGGCGGCTCCTTCCCCGCAGCCGAGCCGGACGTATTGGCATGGCTTGAACAAGAACGTGCAAGATCATGTGAGTCTCGATCTCCATCTCTAACGTCAGAGTAGTATATGTATATTATTACATCGAAGAAGAGGGCGACGAGAACTGAGAATTCAAGTTCTTGAATCTTGAATCATGAATAATATCCATTTTATCACGATCTTGACCTATGTATATGAATATATCGATGTTATTATTCCTAAATCTAGTGATCAGGGCTTCGATTTTCAGCCGTAATCATGAATTACAAGTTGCTAATTAGCATGAACTAATGAACCAAAGGAATTCAAGAACATCCATCGTCTCAGATGTTTGTAGACAAAAGTCTTCGTGTGTTCCGAAACCTTGCAAAGAGACAGGCTCCGTATCTCCATGTCCTGGTAAAAAAAAAAACACGACGATGATTCAATGACCGTCGGTAAAAAAAAGGGTTAAAAAGAGAGACAAAAAACAAAGACAAAAGCAGAGTGTTGTTGTTCTTAGTGGTCCATGCCCATCTATGTAAGCGTTGTTGAAAGAGCTTTCTCATCTGTCCCAAACGTTCCATCAATTTTCGTTTTCGAGTGGACGTCGAATAATCTTATAGCAAGATTCGTAAACCCTTTTCGTACTTGGAAATATCCCGAGGTATCGATTCAAAGGGCTGGTAGGCGGAAATCGGAAATTCTCCCCTTTACTAATTCTGTTCATAATCAATGAGCTCTAGTAGGGAGTCCTTTGCCACTTACAAGTGGTAATTATGTACCGTATAGGGTGTGTGTCCACAACGCATGCACAATGCCAATGAGTACGTCTTGGACAGAAACCATACCCTACAAGGGAAACCGCAATTATACGAGATCAATGGACCGGAAATGGTTGTAAACTTGACAAAAGTCGTTTTCTGACTCGGGGAAAATTCTCGTACCTAACATAAGATTAATCAAACATTACTGCATAGGGAAAAGGATCAACTTTCCTAAATCCGTTCACAATCAGCGAACTCTAGTAGTGAGACACTTGTTAACTAAATAGAAGAAGACTCTTTCCTTGTACTCATTCTCTAACTATGATTTCCCAACATTGTAGCATGATAGCTAACATGTTAAACACAAAGAATTTCAGTCTTATTACGCCACCACTCCTAAAGGTTTGAACCACACGAATAACATTGGATTACAGGCTATAGAAAACGACGTTGCGACTTTCCCTCACCTAGAAATTTTAGTTGCGGAAGAGTTGCTATCTGTTTTACGGGGGAAGGACCAGACAATACGAGTTCACTCAGCCTGACAATAGAAAAAAAAAGTGGGGAGATAAGGTCCTTCACTACAATCTAAGGAGCAAACTTTTGCAATAAGGATGTTTCACAAGGTGTCAACAAAACTAAGAGAAAGGGAAAATAAAAAAGACAAGGAGAAGAAAGACGAACCTGCCCTCGTGATACCGTTCTTTGCCACCGACTGCAGGAGGATAAACAAGAGAAAAACACAATGCTTTTTTCTTATACCACAATATGAAAATTTAAGGATACTCTGTCAAAGAGTTAACATCAGTAGCAGCTATGTAAAGGACCCCACGAGTTAATGCAATGGAGGAATGAGACATGTGATGAACAACATGATAAAAGAGGCACAATATAAAGACGTGTGAAGAGCATACACAAAAGAAAAAATAGATAGAAAAAAACTTAGGACCACTTTCTATATGTGAAAGTCACAAAAGCAGCTCAAACAGTACAAATCTAAACCCATCTGATTCACACAACATGAAAGCTTTCTATAACCGGGCAAAAACAGACATATCCAGAAGTAGTTAGCTTAAACTACAGAAAAGTCGCACCAACCTGTCTTCTCTTCTGTCCCTATTTTCCTACCAAAAACAAAATCATAAGGTAATATCCATAAAACGGTATTCATACGAGAGGGTACCCACAGACAAGGCTTGATCCCTTTGCTTCATGAGATATAGCTTCCTGGATGTTTTTCAATAGGACGGAGAGATACCATAGAGAAACTCCATCAGGTTGGGTGAAGAAAACCTCTCAAACCATCAAACAACCACAGAATCAGGCATGGAGAAGGAAAAGAAACGATTTTGAAGAAAACAGAGCATAGAAAATTGAAGCTAAATACATGATATTTCCTATAAATGATGTGGGAAGAATTACAATACGGCTTTCAGGTTTCAAGACCGAACAAAAACACTGGATAGGAAAAGAGAACCCAAAATCTTCACCATCTAAAAGCCAGAGAATCGATAGTAGTGACAAGTAAAGTAAACTTCTCGGATAGAACAGAGATACTGATTCCGGTTTATGTACACTCGTGTGATTTCATTTTTGTTGTTCTTTCTGAGTTCGAGAAATGTGGGCTTCTTCAATATGGCGGGTGAGAAGGGAAATCCAATAATGTGAAGCACTTGAAGAAGCATAATACGAAGTGACTGTGAGTTGGGCAAACTTTGGAAGTGCATAACCTACAAAATTATCCAATTTGCACAGAAAGTCAGGTTATAAAAAAGATACAAATTCAGGTGCATGCGGCAAAGTTTACATGCAGGTGTTTAGAGATGCTTGGTATACAAAGCAAGGACGCCCATGCAATGAAAGTGAGGCTAACAAAAAGCCACCACTTCTAATTAGTAAATGATACATTCTCTACAGATCAAGGAGATATTTTTTTAACTAATTCACCTAAAACTTAAACAATGTAGACAACAGGTGTAGTTCAGCTTGATGCAAACAAACCAAAATCTTGGACAAGAAAAAAAGATCTTGGATCCTAAATTCAAAAATAAACATGAACATGGGATGCAGCACTCAATAAAAGAAGCCAATTTCTGTATCAACAATAAGTTAGCCATCGTAATTCAACTTCAGGAGATCTAAAAGGCTGTTACTAGAAAAACACAAAGTGAATTCTTCAAGTAAAAATATAGTATAAGACAGATAATCCTGGAAATGATTCATTATTCCATGATTCCAGACAAACAATCACAATTCTGGTCGCCGGAGCAGGATCACATCCACCACACATGCTTTAAGTAAGATGAAACCAGATGAGCATAAGAACATCATCCTACCTCCAAAGGCAGCCCCTGCAGCTGAATATCCAAGCAGCAATGGCACCTATAAGCAAAACGGAACATGTGAGAAGCAAAGAGACCCAGTTGAGGCAACACCAACAAATATAGAGAAATGGACAGAATTTTGGTAACCAAAATTACAAGCCCGAAACTAGAAAAAGACATACCCCCACAAGAAAGGAGAAACGCTTTGATCCTTTAAGCCGACTTTGGAGATAGGGGATCCCTGAGAGAAAAGAGCGGTGAGAGTTCATCGAGGAAAAGATAAAAGTAGACAGTGAGAGAATCCTGCAATACCCACCTGTATTGAAAGCGTGGACTGCACTAAGCATACCACCAAAACCAGAACCAGCCTACACGATAGGAAATACCTAGTTAGGTGCAGATCCATGCGCAATCAGACGAAGTTGATCATTTGCACTATGTCCGCAATGCACGAAATGCCAAATCAGAATGAAAATGGAAAAACCAGATTCAAAAGATCCATAAGGAATATGACCAAAATCCGAACATTTGGAATTAGAAATTAATGTATAACAGATATTTTGATGATCCGATGCTCTGTGTCTAGCCCTAGACAAATAGTTTTCCACTTGAAACGCTTGAAAACCTAATACTGCACCATACAAAAGCCGAATCCCAATTCACTACACCTGACAGAAACCATCTTAAAATGTCCCCAAAAAACAATTGAACTTTTACATGGGCTATGCCAAGTAGCTTAAGCTAACCAACTGATTCCCTGCTCCGACATGATCTCATCAAAATTCAGGTAATTGCATCGAGATCTTAGCTACTTTAACGGTAAAATAGTTCCAAAATCAGTGGCCGATTGCATTACCCGGAACCCGGAACAAGCAGAAACCACAAAGAATTTCGCAATAGATCGAAACTCAACGAATTGAAGACCACCAAAACCCCTAGAAGAATACAAAAAAAAAAAAAAAAAAACTAGGGATACAGGAACACGCAAGCAAAGTAAAACTCACCACAGCAGCGGCGTCGTGCAAAACCGAAGTTATAGTCCACTCGCCTTTCTCCTGAAAATTTCCCTCGGACCAACAAAAACGAGTTACAACCAAAAATAAAACTTAAAACCAAAAATAGAACAAAGACAACGAAAACGTGAAGAAACAGGTAAACGGAGAAGCGAGACAAACCCCAACTCACAGAATTAGGGTCCAAGAGAGAGAGGCAACGTGGACAACGAGCGGAACCAAGACCAGGGTTCATGGTCGGATCATGGTGCAAATTCCCCCTCCTCAGCTTCTCCTCGTACACTTCTCTCGTCCCCATCTCTCTCTCTCTCTCCCGCCGATGAACAAATCTCGCCGCAGCCCGCTAGAACGGAAGTCGTTAACAGTCGAATCGTCGGTAATGGAATTATCCCAATATAGGCCCATAAAGGCCCAATTCATTTTGTCTGGGATTCGTGAATTCTAACATGTGGGCCGGTCGGATGGCTAGACTCAATTGAAACCCGGTTTGATTTTTTTTTTTTGGGTAAAAGAACCCGGTTTAAGATTTCCAAACCATAATAATCATATTATTAACAATCATATACATATGGAAGCAATCTCATTCACGTGCGCATGCGGCATGATGATGTGTCACCTGGTGGTAACATAATCGTCCGGCAGCAAACGATTGAAAAAGTGATGGTTGGAATTCCAATTGTCCGTAATCACAACAATTTAAAACTACACTTTTTTTTTTATTATCCCAAATTAGTACCATATGCTTTCTGGTTTTGAAGTTGCTTGTAGATATACATTTCTATCGAGGCTCTCTGCGCCTCTGTCCAATTGAACTAAACAACTCGGAAACCATGAAACAGACCGAACCTGGAGGAGGGGGATGAGATTGAGGAAAGCCTTGTTGTCGGTTTTCTCAGGATGCATCCTGACGGATCTCTTCATCATCGTATTCTTACCCATGAGAACGATTGTATTCGACGGCTCTTTTTGCGGTTTATGCATTGTGTTTGTTTGTGTATGAAAACTGAAACATACATCTTTTTTGTGTGTTGACGAAGCTTAAGATTTGGATGAAGCACAATACAACCATTGTGCACACATAGGAGGACTCATAAACAGAATATACTTCTCCGAAGGATCAATTCCAATATTCCCCTCAAAATTAGCTTGTAGAGAAACGAAAAAACCATCTTGAACCAAGCACAAACGAAACCACCAAGCAACAACTGTGAAATTTCCACAAATCAAACGACCCGACACAGTCAGTTCATAGAAGCATAAATTCCATCATCTAAAATCGACCGAAACATAAATTCTAGACAAAGCATTATATTTGTCGTTCCCTTAACGTCCAGAAGCGACATTAGAGGCCGCAGTTAATATTTTAATCATAACTAAAAGATTGCGTTATGATAGCGTTTTGATTAAATGACCAAAATATTTCTAATATTAATTAATATATATTATATTATATTATTTTTTATATATAAACGTATGTGTGTATGTATGTATATATATATGAAATATATAAATATATACATACATATATAAATACATATACATGCACACATACACATATACATATGTACAAACATACATATATATACACACAAACAATCATATATATATACATATATATACATATATACATACACATACATATATATACATATATACATACACATACATATATATACATATATATATATATATAGATACACATATATATACATACATACATTTATATATATAGACATACATTATAAAAAATACTAAGAATTTTGTTTGGTATTATATTTGATATTATTTGATTTTACTAATAAATATTTTTAAAATAGTTTTAATATTAAAATTATTTTTGAAAATAAATTAAATTGATAATAAAATTATATTTTAAAATTTATAATTAATTATTTATAAATTTGATAATTATTTGATATTAAATAATAATAATAATAAAAAACTATTAAAAATATTTTAAAAATGGTTAGTATTGTATATAATAAAATGATATCTTTTTTATAATTTAAAATAAATCGCAATCGCTGTTAACCATTCGTTCTAAATCGCAATCACTCGCAATCGCTACCAACAACAATTTTTCTTCCGGTCAATACCAGTTATTTTGAATCGCCAGCAAACGCATTGTAAACGTCCATATTCGCCGCGATTGCGATTCCATCCGTCAAAACCAATCGTTATTACAACACTTCCGAATTTAACGTGAATTACAATATTACATATATACTTATTTGTATTTAACCAGAGATGTTAACCTCGGGTTAGTAGAGGGTTAAACCGTGGTTAGTCCACAGAGATATCTTGTGGAAGCATAATCGTGATTCACCATGGTTTTTTTTACATCATCAAGAACAGAACTCAAAAAAAAAAAAAATCACAATCTTCTTGTCTGAACACAAAAAAAGATTACAGAGACGTCATAAAAAGGCTCTTACCCTCCACTGATCATTGAGCAAACCCTACCATGGAAGAAGACGGATCTCAGTTCTGTCCCATTTCGCTTCTCTGGTCCAAAACCAGAGTTCAATGTCGGAATCCAGACAACAACAATTTCACCTATTTACAAAACGGTCTGGACAAATTCAGAAACCAGCTTATTATTCTTCCTTCCATATCCGACCTGTGACTCTCAACTTGAGTTCTTGCCTGTCGCCGCCGCCGCCGCCGGAAAAATACAACGCCAAGTTCCTCGGTATGATTAGGCCGTCCTGGCTGTCGCGGACTTTCCTGTGACTGTCACGGATGCTTCTGGGGATACCTTGCCACATCAGCTTACGCCCATGGGCCCCGACTTCCAAGCTGTAGCTGAACTTCTTGGCTTCGTTCTCGTCTCCCATGAAGCGTAGGAACGTCATGTACACCGGGGCCATCCCGAGATGGAACGCCTCAAAGTGTAAGCAGAATTGTCTTCCGAAGCAGTTGAATACCTGCCATTTCAATGGAGAAAGAGAAAAAGGATATTCAAGAACCCAGATGAAAATTTGTTGAATTTCCCCTATTTCGAGATCAAAATCCATAACATAAGAGGGAGAAACGTATGAAGTTTCACAGAAAACCCTCCAATGGAAGTTCATCCAAATATTCCTACAATGGAAAAGCTGAGACAATCTGTCCAAGAAAACATGAAGTCCGACCTCGGATAAACCCCAAATAAGCTTTCCGGTTTCTCGTAGTGTAGGTTTCCATCTAAACATCTAAGCAAGTAGGAAACCTAACTATCCTTGTCCAACTCAATCTTCGGGTGACTCGTGGTTTGATGCCACTCTTTTCGTAAAAAACTACGTGTAACGAGGGATGCATCTTTTTCGGGAAAATAAATAGCGAGCTTCTCCAAACAGATGAAAAAGAAACCGAGCACCACGAAATGAGAGAAAAAAATGGCCCGATTCTTTAAATTACCGTAAGCATCCATGTAGCATTCTCGACCTCGTGTGGATTTGCCTTCACATAACGGTGGTTGAAGGTGCATCCATCGTGCATATCGACCTTATGATCGTCTTTGAGATGGGAAACAAGTGTTTGGATATCGCCTGTTACAGAACACTCAGACCCAGCATAAGGGCAGTTGTAAGGCCGAAACCGGCAATGCTGCTCGTGTTTCAGCTTGCTGTAGTAAGGGAAAATGTCATGACAGCCTAAACTTTGGTACCGGCATGGAACTTCCAAAGATTCTGCAACCTTCTCGAGAGCCAAACACCTTATGTTTCCGAGCTCGTAGTGGCATGTTGGGCACAAGTTCTGCACTCTGATTTTGCAGTTTGAACATAACGTGTGGCCATTCGGACACTGTAAAAAGGAGCATTTATAACTTTAGATAGCTCACAGATAGCAAATAAACGAGGGAAGAACAGATTATAGAAGCGATATGTTTCTGGAGTACTATGAATAGCGATCAAAGAATGATCACGCAAAAAAAAAAAGCAAGACAACACCCACCTGATGAATTGGAGGGTACATCAGATTCGTACAGACAGGGCATTCTAGGAGCTCATACACACCATTGCTTGAATGAATCCCGTATTTTCCGACACCACCAGCGCCACCCGACTTTGTCGGTTTACTATTAGTATCCGCTTTCGCCATTTTAACATCATAATCCATGGCCATTGAGTTAGACACTAAGACATCTTTCAAAGCACTGCCTCCAGGAGCCATGATGGATCAATAAATCTAACACCCTTGTTTTAGCCAGAGGGTAAGATGATGCCTCTCTGCTTTAGATCCTTGTTCTTCTGCAGGAAAAGATGATGATGACACAATATAAGCTTACAGAATTCACAAAAGCAAATAAAAAACCCCCCAAAAAATGGAAGGAAAACGGGCGATAGCTAAATCTGGATAACATCAAACATGGGGAAAATAGGTGACACTTTATTCACAAACGGGGAAAAGCATGTGATGCAACAGATCTAAATGGCCAGAGTTCTTGGTTGACTTCATCAAAATCTTTCCTTCTGATGATAGTTTCTTGGAAAAGGGCCTGTAAAGATGATCTGCTAACTTGACAAGCACAAGAAAATCAACTGGGGAAACTATCACGCACCAAAAATGAACTCTGGAACCCCAGAGAAGAGGCATTGGACAACTAAGAAACCAAATAGATTTTAAATCTTGCAATCGAACGAGCAGATCAAAACCATGATGAAGCTGAAATATGAAATACTGATAATTTCAAATTTTGGCCTGTAAAAATGGGGAAGACTTCTTAACAAGGGAAAGAATCCTCAATGCAAATACAAAGGCATAATCTTTTTTTCTGGAGACAAGTAATTTAAGATTTACAGCACGCGTCAAAGAATCGAGAAAAGCCCAGACAAATTGGAGAAAGAGAACAAAACCCCATTTCCCCAAACCCCGAAAAGATTTCGTCTTACGGAACATATTTTCCAAAACGCAAACTAGATTCAGTCGCACGACGTCCCCTGATGTTAGATTAAGCATGAGACGAGAAGGAACAACACAGAAGACGAAAACCCATTTCGCATTTTCCGGTGGCTCGAGACCAGTCCTCGATCTAGACCTGATTTCACACCCAAATAGGGGAAGAATTCAAACCCAAAAGAGGAAAAAAATGGATTTTACCTGGAAGAAAAATCTCCTGGCTCGGCGTTGCGTTTTCCAGATTTGGTTGAAGATTTCCACAAAAAAAAAAAAAAAACAGCGGACGAGAATAGCGGCTTCGGACAAACAAAAGCAGATTACTCAGACACGATTATAGGAGGCAGCAGAGGACGGGGATGGCTATGTCCTGTCTTGTTCGTATCGATGAAACCCATTAATGGTGGTCTCTGCTTCGTCTTTATGCCACTTTGAAAACACGAATCACAAATTCACGCAGGTGTTTTCCCTTTTAGTGCTTCTTTTTTTTTCGTTCTTTGTCGGAAAAAAATGGTATAACTTCACTCTGTTTCATAAGAATTCCTTTCAATACGAAGCAAAATAGAGAAGTATTCACAGATATTCTAATTTTGCGTTTTTTACCCTCTACTTTTATAAGGAGCAAGGAAACCCCTGTAGTAGATCGATATTTTTTTTTGATAACGGGTCGGGAATCCTACGCCAAAACCCATACTAATCCCGAAACCTTTGCATCCTCAATTCACCATTTAAACTACCAAGTTTAAAACCTTTACATTCTTATCTTTACATTCTTATTTCACCGATTAAACTATCAAGTTTGGATTAGATCGACATGGTTACCTATGTTATGGTGTATTATTTCATAAACATCCTTGGATTTGTAAGAAAACCCTTGTTTGTACGGCGTAATCCATTTATTAAAAGGTAAATAACAGTTACAGCACAATTTGACAACCCATTCCATGGATCGACCAAATTCGATCGGAACAGGTACTCTACAGATACATATCCACCCAATATATCATCCCTACATTGTAAAAACACAGAAACACCAAAACGGTAAGAGAAACGAAAAAGAAAAAGTTTTACCAATCTTTGATCATGGGAATTGCAGATACATGGAAGTTGAACGCTGTCTTCTAGGTCAACCTCCTCCTCCTCAGCGGACGAGAATCTACACTGTCTACATCAGAAACCCTCGAGGTGTTCTCGTTTCTTCTTCTCGAAGACGACGTAGAAAGGGCCATAGAATCGATCTCCACTGCATCGACCTGACTCTCCGAGTTTATAACAGCTGCAATGCTCGAGAAAGAATCTCTGTCATCGACGACAACCGGTGCGTTCTGCTCTTGGGTTCTTCCCAAAGGATGATTACTCACATATGCATCGACCACTGGCCCGAATGCAGAAGAAGAGAAGGGAGAGATTCTCGCAACTCTGTGCGACTGTAACTGTCTCCTGATTAGTAAAGGATGGAGTCTCGGGGTTTCCCCTTCAAGGTCGGGGGCAATGCTCGGGGTGAGATCAATTTCATCTAATGGTGCAGCTACAACATCAGCAGCAACAGCAGTAGTAGCAACATTAGCAGAGTTCTGTTCTCCTCTAACTCCTCTAGATGTCATAAACCGGTTAAGAATCGAACTGGCACGTTCGTGAAATCTTCCCGACGTTTCACGGTTACTGAAATCCGGGATTGAGGTAGAGTACCTGTCGAACCTGCTTTGTAAACGTCTAATCATTTCTTCCATGGGTATTGTAAAAGGTGACCTTTGAAGGGTCTGCCTCAAACTCTCAACTCGTCTTGCATGAGGTCTCGTAGGGATCTTAGTTTCTGAATTCTCTTCGGATTCTCGTCTATGGTTTCCACGGCCATAAATCGGTGTGACGGCTTTTTGAGTCACCTCCCCTTTGCAAACTGGGCATTCCTTTGCGTCTGAGATTTGCAACCACTGGTAAAGGCAAGACCAGCAGAAAAGGTGGCCACAGCAGGTGACAACCGGTTCCTTTGCTAAGTCCAAACATATATTACAGTCGAAAAAGCTTCCATCGTTGCCGTTACTCTTCTCAACGTCGCCTTTCTTCTCCGACACATTGTCCTCCATCCCTCCTCCATTCCCATTCTCACACGTTTTCGTGTCCTCGTTGCCTCTTGCCTCAGCAGCGATACTACCCTCGCCAGCCTGCAAGGAGGCTCCATTTGGCGAGCTGCCCAGCAGTTGGTTCAGTTCTATGGACAGGCTCTGGCTTTCGGCAAGGATAGGAAGATTCAGTTGTCTGAATCTCGAACGATGCCTAGTCCTGATCCTCGTCACAGCGGAGGCTCTCTCGGAAGATTCATTTATCCAATCAGTGAAACTCACCACATCGTTCGGTGCCGTCTGCAGACCTGACTCGGGACCGGGGCCAAGGTTCAAATCCAGGTTCATGGTGTCCGATATCTCCTCACCCATCACCACTTCAGCAATCCAAAACTACGACTTCTCCACGAGATTTAGAGACGGAATACAATTAACCCTACTAATTCCCAAAAACAACCGTGTTTATGCCATTAGTGAGCAAAACCCGGATCTCCAAACTCCTTCGCGGCGACATAATTTAAGAAACCCCCAATCAGAAAACCCTAATTCGCACATACCCATACGAGAAAACCCGCAACTTATCGAGCTCCGAAAACCCTAACGCCTGCTTTTTTCCAAGACGATTACCTCGAATCAAGAAGAGTATCGCAGAGAAAACTGAAACTGGGGTAAAATTCTGCAAATCTGAAACAAAATCAAGAGCCGGAAGGAGAACAATAACGACCTGAAGGTTGGATGTATTAAATGCGGACGACTTTGATTAACAATCAACGATAAGCGTGAACCAACTGATGCTCCGAACCGTAATTGAGCCGCGAAAGAGTGGACTTGTCATGGAACTCGCCCTCGCTTGTACGAACGAATCGCGTCCATTGGCGAGTGAGAAGAAGAAGGAATCGGAGACTCTAAGCGCAAGAGAGAGGAGGAGAAGACGAGGGGAGGCGGAAGAGAGAAGGTAGGGATGCCGTACGATTCGGACTATACTAATGAATTCTAATCCTACGTGAAGACATAAATCGGACGGCTATTATCAATCAACACCCATGTGGACCCCACGTTTTGACCAATATTACAAATCATCAAACCTAAAATATTAACAAGGATTATGGGTTAACTCAATGGTTTTGGTTTCTGATTATTATTTTGGAAAGAATTTAAATATAATTTATTTAAATTATATATATATATGCGTGTGTGTAATTGTTATTTGTTAATATGGACTGTGATAGACGAAAAAGGATACGTGTCAGGAGGAGGGTTATACAAAACCAGATTATATGCTTCATAGTATAAATAAATATTCACATACACCACATTATTTGAAAGTAATCTGTCGTAACCTCAATTCAAATTTTATTGTTTAAAATATATGTTGTAGTTATCTTATATCTATAGTTATACATACATATATATATACTTACATGTAGATATACATATTAATGTTGAATATATATATATGAGAGAATTGGAAATGAAATTACAACAGTATAAAGGGATTGTTTTGATATTGAATATTTTATTATTGTTATTAATAGTATTAATAAATACGATTTTTTATTTTAATGTTAAAAATATTTTTGATAATTTTTAAATATAAAATCTAAAACAAAAAACTAAGATATTTTTTTTACCAAGTTTTCTAAAAAATTTAAAAATTATAAAAATTAAAAACTTAAAACCAGAAATAAAAAACTAAAACTAAAAATCCAAAATAAAAGTCAGTATCTTTAGACTTTGGACACCAAAATATAATTTTTAAAAATTTTAAAAAATACTAATTCGGAAAATAAGAAAACGGGAACCCGGACACGTGTGAAACTCACTACAATCTAATTATCTAACCAAACTTCTTTCAATTCGGAAATGTATTATGTTTTGTATTAATTTCCCGTTAAGAATTTTTGTCGGAATCGATTTTCCACGGCGTCCATGGCGGGAAAATCAGCAACGGCAGAGAGAAAGTGTTCAGCTTTGACACTGTCTCTTCCGTTGGTTCTATGAAGAGATGAACTGATCTTGTACGAGGTAATGGGTTGGATGCTTACGATTTTATTTTTTTTTTGAGTTTTAGTCCTTTAGATCTTCGTTTTCTTCCCCAGCAAACATGTGAGAGAAAATCCCGGGAAAAGGAATTGGCTTTCCTCTACCTCCAGGTCGATTAAACGTGATTTGGCCTCGGAATAAAACCCAAAAAAGACAAAAAAAAAACTGAAAAGGAAGAACAGTGAGCGAGGCACTTGTCTTCTACCTTCTGCTCTTCCTGAGAATTCTCCGCGGAAAATTTACAACCTTTCTTTGTTTCCGCATGTCCCTTTCCTCGTCTTCGATGGCTTTGCTACATGGGTCGGTTTCCGCTACGTCGGCGGTTCGATTGGGCTTCTCAACCACAGCACCGCCGTCGTCTCCGGCGACCGTTCCAGCAGAGAAGGGTCGGAGGAGATCGTGCCGGAGAAGCATTTTCCGAGCAACGGTACAACCAGGGGCTCCATCTGTTAACGCCAAGGAAATGGAACGGCTTTCTGCTAAGGAGTCGCTTCTCATCGCCGTAAATTCCTTGTTCACTTCATTTCTCCGCCATCGTTATTGTTTTAGATCTAAATTTCTTCGCTTGCTCCGTGTCCTGTTTGGTTGCTGAGAAAATGGGGGGAAAGCTTCGGTTACGTTTTTAGCATTTTCCATCGAGAAAACTTCTGGGGATTTGTCATCTGTTATTACCAAGAGATTGTGAAACAGATGATGATGGAGACTGAAACTGTTTCCATGTTGTTGGATTTCTGTTCCAGCTTCGAATTCTCAAGCCAGATCTTGTCATGAACCTATGTTTTTGTCAAAATCTGTATACAGTTCAATGATTCCGGAGGATTTGAGGCTTTGGTCAGGGGAAAAACAACTGACGTTCAACGGATCGATGTTCATGAAAGGATCACATGTCTAGAGCGGCTCAACCCTACTCCCAGACCAGCCATGTCGGCTTCTTCCTTCTCTACGATACGATTCTCTCTCATCTCTTGTGTGTTTATGTGTTTTTCTCTTTCGGACAGTTCATTTGATCGGTTTTCCATAGCTTTTCAGGTCTCCCTATCTCCAAGGCAGATGGGATTTCAGGTGGTTGGGGTCCAGAATACCCGGTTTCTTCCCTTCTCGGGTTATCTCCGAGTCAGTGTTCGTCGCCCCATATTCATGAACGATCGTGAATGCTCTCATTGCAGAAACGATTAGACGATCCCTTTTCTTCGTGTGGTGGCAGGAGGTTTCCTCCAAAGCTGGCAAATTTGTCGAAAATGGACGTACTGATCAAGGACGGGAATGCCAAGGCAACCGCTAGCATCAGGCTTCTGAACTCGGTAACAATATAACGTTGGATGAACACATTCTGGATTCGATCGTTCTAAAAACGTTGCAAAAAAGGGTGGTTTCTCTTTTGACGAAATCGCAGGTAGAAAGCAACATAATCCTGACATCGAGATTGTCGGTTGAAGGGCCTGTCAGAATGAAAGAAGAGTATGCAGAAGGTATGGTCCAGCCCCCGAAGCTCATTCAAGAGGCGCTGCCGGAACAGCTAAGAGGTCTATTGGGTCAAGCCACCGCCACACCGCAGCAGCTTCCTGCTCATGCCCGGGATACTTTAGCCACCGGACTCAGAATTCCGCTCGGTAATTAGCGCTTTTTTCTTCTCTCGATCATTCGGTATTTATTAGAATGATCATTCTTGCCCTCGAACTGAATATATATGGCCTCGCATTTTATCGGTTTTCAGGTGGATCTATCCAGAGATTCTTCATGATATCTTATCTAGACGACGAGATTCTCGTAAGTTTGTGTCTGCTGAAC